GCGTTGAAGCTCCCCCTGTATTATGGGGATAGGTGGTTTTAGGGCCAATGCAGCTTCTGATCTGAAAATGACACGTACATTTTACCCAAGTCCTGAGTTCAGTTGAGATACTTACTGAATGTTTTCCCCTAAGCCACTTGACTAATTATTTTGGGGAAAGAGACTGACAGTGTGATCATCTACGGCAGGTGCCATCCTGTTAATTTTAATTCTGAGTGCGCCCTAGGAGACCCGGCAGTAGGAACACCTGGTGCTGGAAGCAGGCAAGAATGACTTTTCCTGATGGGACAGTGGAGTGCATTCATTCTGGAGCATATTAACCTTCCCTTTGGGGAGACACCACATTAAGGTCTGTTAAAATATTTCCTCTAAAGTCTGGAACGTGACACTAGAGAGCTTCAGGATTGCAGAGTGAGATTGTCTTAATTTACAGCAGCTAGTGATTTGAGATGCTGCTTTTAAGTTTGTTAGATCATGATGCCCTTTTCATAGTGTGTTAGACAACATAAAATGTCTCAACCCTCTCTAGAACCCTGGAGCAAACACCAGTTCACACACTTCGGCACAAAAAAGAAGGGACTTTATTTTCTCATAATTGAAAATAGAAGTTCTTACCCTCTTTACCCATGTGACCCTGTTTTACAGAGAACAAAGGACCTTGTGAATTTGGGGAAGCATTTCAGGTTCTTCATTTATATAACGATAGGAGTGGACTAGTTTATCTCTACAGGCTTCCTTCTGGTTTTCCTTGTCTTGATTTTAAGTACCTCTGGCTGTCTGATTATACCAGGGGTCCTCAAACTGCGGCCCGCCGAGGACATTTATCGGGCCTGCCAGGTGTTTTTGCCCTGTTTTGTTTTTTACTTCAAAATAAGTTATGTGCAGTGTGCATAGGAATTTGCTCATAGTTTTTTTAAAACTATAGTCCGGCCCTCCAACGGGTCTGAGGGACAGTGAACTGGCCCCCTGTTTAAAATGTTTGAGGATCCCTGGATTATACTCTATCTTTGGCGTGCCTGGCTGCTACTCTGGCACAAAGATATTGACAAAGCAAGTGTGAATCAGCAGCTGAGAACTTTTGGTTCTCGTCCCATCCTTACTGGTGAATGACCCTGGGCATGCAGTTCAAATGCGCTATCCCAACAGTCCCATGACCAAGGGGGAGACTGAAACTTCACCCATTTCCTGAGACTAAAGCGAGTCATGGTGTGTGTGGTGACACTGCTCTAGGACACTCCTAGTTCTGTAACTGACTTGTATCTGTTCGCCACTCACCTGTTTGTGCTTCAGTGTCCCCGAGTATAAATGATTTAAAAGCTGTAGTTTGTTGAATGTGCATTGGGTGCCAGATGTCGCTGCCAGGTACTTTTACATACATCTCCTGTTCTCTTCAGCAGCAAATGAGTATCAGTGGGAATGTAGGTCCTTAATGGCAAGTGCGCACAAGATTCCACAGATAGGAGGGAGTAGAGCTGGGATTAGAAGCCCCATTCTTCCCTCTGAACCTTATGTTGTTTATACAACTACTCTATTCTGCCACATATGCAATATGGAACCATAACCATATATACTTCCAAAGAAGTTGCCAGGAGCTGTGGTGGGGTAGTAGGTTATGCATTGAGCTACTAACCACTAGGTCAGCGATTCAAACCCACCAGCTGCTCCACAGAGAGAGATGAGGCTGTCTCCTCCTGTAAAGACGTGAAGTTTCAGAAACCCAAAAGAGGCAGTTCTACTCTGTTCTACTCTGTTCTGTAGGGTCAGAATGGATTTGGTGACAGAGAAAGTTGCCAGGCACAGATAAGATACCGGACATCATAATGTGTTTGTCACTAGAACTTTCTAGGTCAAGGGAACCCATGAGGAGCTCGAGTGTAGTTAGATGTCCTGAATGCAAGTCCCAACTCTGCTGCTCACTGATGCGTTACTTAATGTATCCACACTTCAGTTTTTCATCTGCAAAGGGAATAATGATCATACCGATTTCTTATGATGTTATGAGGGCAATGTAAATCACTTTGGATGGTGTTTTGCACATACTAAGTATTCTTTTTTTTCCATACTCAGTATTCTACACATATTAATAAGTAGCAGTGGAGCAGGGATTGTTTTATTCAACGCCTCTATTGTAGGTACAGGATACTGAAACCTAGAGGCTGGAATGTGATTGCCCAAAATGAAGCAACAACAAAAAAATCATTGCAAAGAATAAGAATAGTATGTATGAAGCTGTTGATATTTCATACATAAGAGTAAATTTCGTGATAAAGACACAGTGCATGTTGGTAGGTGCCATCGAGTTGGTTCCGACCCACAGCAGCCCTGTGCACAACAGACGGAAAGACTGCCTGGTCCGGCACCATCCTCACAATTGTTCCTATACCTCAGGCAATGTGTGCAGCCATTGTGTCAGTCTGCCTCATGGAGACCCTTCCCCTTTTTCTCTGTCCCCCCCGCTCCCCCCCACTTTACCAACCATAATGTCCTCCTTTCTCAGTCCCTCCAGGGACTGGTCTCTCCTGATGACATGCCCAAAGTATGTAAGACAAAGCCTTGCCATCCTTCCCTTAAGGAGCACTCTGGCCATGCTTCTTCCAAGACAGCTTACTTGTCCTTTGAGCAGGCCATCGTTCTTTGCCTGTTCTTTGCCAGCACTAGAATTCAAACGCATCCGCTCTTCTTCGGTCGTCTCTTTTACTCACTGTCCAACTTTCCCATGCGTATTTGGCAACTGACCATACCATGGCTCAGATGTGGACCCCTTCGGTCCTCAAAGTAACATCCTTGCTCTTCAGCACTCTAACGAGGTCTTGTGAAGCAGATTCACCTATTGCAACACATCTTTTCATCTCTTCACTGCTGTTTCCTTGAGCATTGATTGTGGATCCAA